AGGACGAGGACGAGGACGAGGAGGGATGAGGAGGAGGAGGGGGAGGAGGCGGAGGAGGAGGAGGAGGAGGAGGACGTGCGAAGAGTAGCAAGAGGAGGAGCAGGAGGAGGCGGAGGGTGATGATGATGATGATGATGATGATGATGAGGAGGAGGAGGAGGAGGAGGAGGAGGAGGAGGAGGAGGAGGGAGGAGGAGGAGGAGGAAGGGGTGAAGGAGGAGGAATACTACGAATAATAACACTAAGGATACGTGCAATGATTAGACGACGAAGACGAAGCAACCGAATAGTAATAATTCGTATTAGTTCGAATAACCATCAGCAGACACGTAACAGTGATAATCCGAGCACGACGAGTACGAACACTACCAATCAGGGACTACCACGGACCATGCTACGAATAATTAAAGTGTGAAGGAACATATGGTATTACTAATACGAACAAGAGTAAGACTAGTATCAACAACAATATATACGAATCAAACAATTACATCTACTATGAATAATAGGTGCACGACTGCTAACACGCATGCTAATAATAATGCTAGGAAGACGAATGCGACAACTAATACGACGCCGACTGATACTACTAATACTGAGAAGCAACATGGGAATATTACCAATAATACGACAAATGCGAATCCGACATCATAGTAATAGGAATCGTAGTAATGCTAAGAATGATAAGACGAGGAGGAGGAGGAGAAGGAGAAGGAGGGGGAAGAGGAGGAGGAGGATGGATGATGGGGGAGGAGGATGGAGGATGGGCGAGGAGGAGGAGGAGGAGGAGGAGGAGGAGGAGAAGGAGCAGGAGGAGGAGGGGGAGCAGGCGGAGGAGGGAGGAGGAGGAGAGGAGGAGTAGGAGGACGAGATGGAGGAGGAGGAGGAGGAGGAGGAGGAGGAGGAGGAGGAGGAGGAGGAGGAGGATGGAGGATGGAGGAGGATGGAGGATGGAGGATTGGAGAGGAGGATCGAGGATGGGCGAGGAGGAGGAGGAAGAGGAGGAGGAGGAGGAGGAGCAGGAGGAGGAGGAGGAGGAGGAGGTGCAGGAGCAGGAGCAGGAGCAGGAGCAGGAGCAGGAGCCGGAAAAGGAGGCCTCGGCAGGACCCGCTTTTACGAGACGCCGGCGCTGGTGCTGGCGGAGTGGCGGCCGTTGTCGCCAGGCCTTGGCGGCTCGGGCCCCGCGGCGTCCTCGAGCGGCCCCGGCGGCGGCGCGGCATCGTCGGTTGGCGCGGGCTGCCCGCCTCCGGCGGAGGCTTCGGGGCGGTGCGATCGAAATGGGTACGGATGCCGCGTTGTGGGGGTAGCCGCGGGGTGACATCTGTCAGAGGAGGAAAAGGTACCCATACCTCTACCCTTCGCCCGTTTCCCCCTTTTTGGACCTCCTCGGAGGATCTCGCCACAACCGCTGGATTCGCCTCGAAATTCTGGTCAGAACGCACCCCAGGAGAGGTCCGCGGAGTAGCGGTATTGGTACCCTTTGGCTTCTCCAATCTGCTGCTGCTGCTGCTGCTGCTGCTGCTGCTGCTGCTGCTGCTGCTGCTGCTGCTGCTGCTGCTGCTGCTGCCTGCACCGCACAGGCCGCTGCTGCTGCTGCAGCGTTGGGGCACATCCTGCTGCTGCTGCTGCTGTTGCTGCTTCTGCTGCTGCTGCTGCTGCTGCTGCTGCTGCTGCTGCTGCTGCTATGGCTGCTGCTGTTGCAGCTGCTGCGGATACGCAGCGTGGCATCTCCTGCTGCTCCCCATGCTTCCACAAGGTGGATTCGCAAGAAGGCAGCGAGGGACCCTGGACACCCAAGCGACCCCAGACGCAGGGCGGGCCCCAAGCCAGCGCACCAATCCACGAGGGGAGACGCAAGGGAGGAAGAGGACGGGACAGCGTGTGGCATCTCCTGCTCCTCCTCGTCCCACCCCCCTCCCACTGACTGAAGGCACGCATTCTTGACCGAAGGCAAGAGATATGGAACAGGTTTATTTCGGGGGGGGACATTATGAAAGGCACACGCTTTTGAAGTTTACAATTTGTGCTTTCATGTTTTGCCTTCGATTGTGAAGGCCTTACGGCTGGTGCCGCCGACCTGTATGCGGGGGGGACAGGGAGATGGAACAGGTGGACGAGAAGTGGGGGGCCTCCTAGGGTCTTTCGGAGCCTCTTGGGGATCTCATGGGGGCCTCCTCAGGGCCTTTTGGGTCTTCCTTGGGACCTACACCTTGGGGGCCTCTAGGAGCCTCTTGGGGAGCCTCTTGGGAGCCTTTGGGGGCTCCTGTCGAGTCCCCTGTCTCGGCACGCTCTGGGAGCCGTCTAAGGGGGCTTCCCGGGCCGTCTTGGGGGCCTCATGGGCTGCCTGGGGCCCTCTTGTGTCCTTTCGGGGCCCTCTTGGAGACTCCTTGGCCGATCTTCGGGCGATCTTGGAGGCCTCTTGGGCCGTCTTGGAGCGTCGAGAAGCCGATAATGCGAAAACGCTATCGAGTTGCCTGCGGCAACCCCCGCCACCGTTCCTGTGCAACAGCGCAGCAGGAAGGAGGCTGAGTGTAGGAACATCGCAATTCCGACAAGTAGTCTGTATTGGGGCGGGTCGTGATCCCGACCTCGCTTTCATCCGCGCGGAAAGGAGAAGGAGGAGGAGGCGGAGGAGGAACAGGAGGAGGAGGAGGACTAGCGTAAGCCCAACACCCATCAGCGATGTTGGAATAAACCCTCCCCCAAGCTCCCTTTCCATTAACTTCACAAGGGTTCATTTCCACTGATGGAAGTGCCCCGTTGGGAGACACCCGTTTAAAAATCCGGATGCGTGCCACACCACCATTCTTGGAACTCCAGCGCCACTAATCAATGTGACTGTTGTGTCCTGACGACCCTGAATCGTGCCAGAGCACAATTCCTGGGACTTCAACATTGCGAATCAACATAACAACTGCGCCCTGGCAATCGCGAGTCGCTCCAACGCACCATTTCTGGTACGTTTGCCAATGGGAAGATGCAGAACGTTTGCAATTTTGAGCAGCGTGTGTATTTTTGAGCCACGTTTTGAAAATGAGCCGCCCTCCATCCTTGGAGCTCTTTGCACATCTTTAAGACGAGTGTGCGCGGCGCTAAGGCGAGAGCCACATTTTGAAAAGGGTCCGCCCCTGATCCGTCAAACGCTTGCAATTGTTTAGGGCGGGTGTGCGCGGCGCTGAGGCGAGAGCCACATGTTTGGAATTGCTACAGCACGTGAACTTCAGCGCCCAAAATGGTGCCGACGTCTCAGGCGAAACGCCGGGCCCGCCCTTCCGACTGGCACGGACCCAGGGGTGCGACAGGGCGGAATCATTTATGAGGAAAGGCATGGAATCGGAGGTGGAGGTGGTGGGGGAGGAGGAGGAGGAGGAGGAGGAGAAGAAGAAGAAGACGAAGGAGGAGGAGGAGGAGGAGGAGGAGGAGGAGGCGGAGGAGAGGGGGAAAACGATGATGAGGAGGAGAAGGCTTCTTGGGGCATTCTTGGGGACTCCTGGGGGCTTCCTGGGAGCTTTCTGAAAGCTTCATGGGGGCTTATTGGGAGCCTCATGGGGCATCTTGGAGGCCTCTTTGGGCCTCTTGGGCCGTCTTAGGGGATTCTTGGCACGTCTGACGCCTTTGGGGGCCGCCTTGGGGGCCTCTGTAGGCCGCGTTTGTGCCCTCTTGGAGCGGTTCACGGCCGTCCTGTTGGGTGATTTTTGGGTCCTCTTGGGGCGGCTTCGGGCCCTCTTGGGGGCCTCCTGGGGCATCTTGGAGCTATCTTGAAGGCTTCTTGGTGGCTTCTTGGGCCATCTTGGGCGGTCGGAAACCCGAAAAGGGGAGAATCTCACAACATTTGGAACAACCGAAAGAAAGTCAATGGTGTTGGCCTCTTCGGGCCCTCCAGGTGAGCACGCGGAGGCAAGAACAATTGATTATAATTCGGTATATGAAGATTTTGAGGTTCTGCCATTTTGTGTTTCCGACCGCCCAAGACAGCCCAAGAGGCCTCTTCGGGCCGTCTTGTTTCATTCTTGGTGCGTTTCAAGGCTGTCTTTGGGCCCTCTTTTGGAGCCCCTTGGGCGTTCTCGAGGCCATCTTGGGCCGACTTGGGGCCCTCTTGGGTGCCTCTTGGGCTGTGTTAATTGGAGGCCCTTTGGAAGCCTCCTGGCCGCCTTGGGTGGTCGGAAGCCCGAGCAGGCGAGATGCTCAAGATCCTTCGCACACCTGATGAAAGTCAATGGTTTTGGCCTCTCCAGGAAGACTTCGTGGAGCTCTCTCGGGCCGGTTTGGGGGGCCTGTTGGGCCGTCCTGAGGGCCCTCGTGGGCTCTTTGAGCCGTCGTGAGGACCTCTCTTGAGAGGCCCTTGGGCCGTGGTGGGCAATCTTGGGTCATTTTGTTGTCGTCGTGGCTGTCTTGGAAGCCGTCTGGGAGTCCATCTTGGCCGTCTGGAGGCCGAAACAGAGCAAGAGAACAGGTTCAACAGAGGCGGTTGTCGAGGGGCGCGCGCGGCGAGGGGGGGGCCTTAAGCTTCGCAGAACCTCCCAGACAACAGACGAGCATCCCGACACGCCCACTCCGTGCATGTACGGGCGTTGTTTTTTTGTTTTGTTTTTTTGTTTTTATCAAAAAATCAAACAACTTAGAACAAACACATTTGACACAGGTATGACGTGTACCTCTTGTGGGCCCTCTTCGGAGTGCTTTTGGAGGCCTCTTGGAGCGTCTTGAATGTGTCTCGCACCGTCTGGAGGCCGTCTTTGGCGTCCAGGACGAATGCTTTTTATGCGATTCGGGGCCCTCTGCTCCGTGTTCTCCTTCATCCTCTTCCTGCCTGTCTTCTGCACCGGTCAGCCAATCCGGCACACCCCCTCTCACGTCTCATGACCCCATACCGAGCTCCACCGAAGGCCCCAGTGGCTGCGTTCGCATGCGTCCGCCGCACTAATGTCGGCACATCCATCACACGCTTCGTGGCCCCATAGGGAGCTCCACCGGCGGCCCCAGTGGCTGGCTACGTTCGCATGCGCACGCCTCGCCCATGTCTGCACACCCCTCGCACGTTTCGTGGCCCCGTCGGGAGCTCCACCCGAGGGCCGAGTGGCTGCGTTCGCATGCGCCCGCGGCACCCGCTTCGTCAGACGCTTCGTGGCCTAATAGGGAACTCCACCGAAGGCCGCAGCGGCTGCGTTTGCATGCGCCTGCCGCACAAGATTCGGTTCACCCATCACACGTGTCGTGGCTCTATAGGGGGCTCCACCGAAGGCCCCAGTTGCTGCGTTCGCATGCGCCGCCGCACCCATTTCGGCACATCCATGTGTCGTGGCCCCGTATGGAGCCCCTTCGAAGCCCGCACTGGCTGCGTTCTCATGTGCCCGCCGCGCCCACTTCGGCACACCCATCACACGCTGCGTGGCCCCATTGGGAGCTGTACGGAAGGCTGTAGTGGCTGCGTTCGCATGCGCCCGCAGCATTCCTTTCGGCACACCTCTGTCACGTTTCGCGGCCCGATAGGGAGCTCCGCCGAAGGCCACAGTGGCTGCGTTTGCATGAGCCCGCCGCACATTTCGGCACACCCGTCACACGTTTCGTGGCCCCACAGGGAGCTCCACCGAAGGCCGCAGAGGCTGCGTTCGCATGCACCCTGCTTTGCTCTTACAACTGCAAAGTTGGGTCCCTCGCCAGGCCAAGCTTTGGCTCCGGTACTCCCTTCGGAGATGGCATTTTGACCCACGACCCATTTCGATTAGGTCGGGCATTTCCTTCTACAAGCGGATTTTGGAGGAACAATTCAAAATGCTCAACAAACATGCAACATCAGTTAAACATAGTCGGACAATCGTGCCCAGGATTTTTGGACAACTTGTGAACATTCCTCCTGTAGATGGACATGCCCGACTTGACCCTTCGACGCCCAACCTCCCCCCCCTCGACCCCCCACCCCCTCCCGCGGGGAGTGGATCAGAGGGCAGGGGGTTTCCGTCGACTCTGCTACGGCGTTCGCTCTGGCTGGCGCGCCTGAGGGGGGGGGCCCAGGAAAAAGGGGGTCAGCGGCGACGGCGACGACGACGACGACGAACGGAAGAGGGTCTTCCACACTCTGACAAGGTCGGCGGATATGTTTTGCCCTCAGTGAGCTGCTCCTGCTGCTCCCCCCACGCTTTGTGGGAAGAATGGGCACGAAGACCAGCAGCAGTTCCGGCCCCAGAGCAGGTGCACACGCAGATCGTTTCGAGACCTCGCTGCTCTCGGTTGGCTGCGAACTGCGCAACTATCGCCACCTTCGTGGGTTTCTAGGATGCCAGCGGAGTCAGGGGCCACGCGCATCTAGTCGAGGCATCGCTGCTCCATGGGCGGCTGTGAATTGTGCAACTCTCGCCCCTTCCGTGGGCTCCTGTTGTGAGGTCCAGCGGAGTCGGGGGACACGCGGCTCCAGCCGAGACCTCGCTGCTCCTTGGGTGGCTGCGACCGGCGCAAGGGTCGTCACTTCCTGGTGCTGGGCACATTTTCCACAACCGCTACCAGATGTAGGACGGGGGAGACGTGGGGATGAGGAGGTCCTCCTCCTCCTCCTCCTCCTCCTCCTCCTCCTCCTCCTTCTCCTCCCCCCCCCTACTTATGGTAGTGGTGGTGGTAAATGGGCCCATCATCTTAGGCTCCTGGGAGTTCCACCGAAAGGGAGCTGTGCGCGCACCCAGCCGAGGCCCGGCGGCTCCCCCGGGGTGGCTGCGAGCTGCGCAGCTGTCGCCACTCTCGCAGCTGTCGCCGCTTTCGCGGGCTCCCCCGGAGGCACGGCGCACCCAGACGTCGGGAGTCTCGCCAAAGATCCAGACGGAGATCTGTCGTAGCTTTTGGCCTCTCGGGGCCCTCGCTGGGCCTCGGGGCCGTCAAACAGACAACTCGGGATGACCAACCGGTCCCGGGAAAGCGGCCAGGAGGTCGGGGGCCCGTGTCTCGAACAAATCGAGACGTCGGATGTCCGGGGAGGATAGTGGCAGCGGGGACCTCTTCGAGACTTCGCGGCTCCCTGGGGGTTTCTGAGCTGTCGCAGCTCTCGCCATCTTCGTTGGCCCCTGGGAGGTGTTTCAGAGTGCGGGGCAGCGCTGGTCCAGGCGAGATCTCACGTTTTCCTTGGAGGGTCATCCTCAGTGGCCCGCCCGCTCCTTGCGCACGTGAGCGACGCGCGCGGCCAGGTTATTGTTAGGCTCATAGTCTCAGAGTGCTGAATATCTCGCAGTGTGTTCTGTTGTATTGCACGTTCATATCAATAGTCGCCTTGCGTGGAGAAAGGGCTGGGTACATCTCGTTTGTTTGTCGCACGTTGGGCGTGCGAATCGACGAGGAATGCTCAGCATATGCATAAAGTACATGCAGCACAATAGCCTAAACGTAATCAAGCATGGGCCAGGCAGGGGGGCATATATGGAGACACCTAGAGTGACCTCAGTAGATCGTACCGTTTCATCTCATACTAGGGTGTGATATATCCGGGTTTGTATGCGGGTGTGTTTTTGCCGTGTGGTATAGTGTAGTATGTTGTTACATCCATGTATTGAGACAAGTGGTCGTAAAGTTCTGTCTAGTTCGACATGATATCGCATGCTGTAACACTCATATGGTCGACTATGGTGTATGTCTCGACTGGGCCGATCATGTGTTTGCTCCAGTTTCTGCTTCTGGTACGTGAAGTTCTACAGTGCTGCACGTCGCTTATCCGACTTGGGCCATCAGGTCGAGGGGGGAGTTCCAGTGTAGCCTCTTAGGTAACCGTGCCATCCGTGACATGTTTTGCCCAGGTGATCGTAACCGCCGTCCAGCGGTGTGGCATCATTTCACGTGTTCGCGTCGGCCGCTTATGGTAAAACACAGCTCCATCCTCGTTGCCCTCGCTCTTCGGCAAATCTGCAGGAGCGAGAGAGAGAGAGAGAGAGAGACCGAGGAGCTGGAGGAGGAGGAGGAGGAGGAGGAGGAGGAGGAGAAGCTGGAGCTGGAGGAGGAGGAGGAGGAGGAGGAGGAGGAGGAGAAGCTGGAGCTGGAGCTGGAGGAGGAGGAGGAGTAGTAGGAGGAGGAGGAGGGGGCATCTCGAGGACACGGAGCTCATCTATGGATACCTCTCCTTCCCGAGGCTGCGGCAGCGGGCGGGCCGCGGCGGGAGGAGGGCTGGAGCTCGGCGGACTGGGGGAAGCTGTGCAGCCTGGCGCAGACGCTCGAGACCTACGAGCCGGGGCGGATGGACATGGAGGAGCTGCGGGACGTGCTGGCGCAGGCCCGCGAGGTGCGCGAGTGCCTCGGGCGGCTCGAGAGGAGCGCGCTCGCTCGGCTGGAGCACTCCCAGTGAGCCCTGACGGCTCGGAGGAGGGGCCGGCCGAGGCAGCTGTGCTTGGCCGTCGCGGGGGGGGGGCCTCCTCGTCGCCGCGGCTGGGCCCAGCTCGAAGCACGTGTCGTTTGGTGCCCCGGGAGGGGTCGCGGTGAACCGAGTTGGAGCTGCAGCTGTCTCAGGTCGCTCTGCTCCGACAGACAGTCTCCCCGTGCTCGCACAGCTCCTGCTCCTCAGGATCCGGTGGCGTCGAAGAGGGGGCCGTGGGGGAGTGCTCGCTGGTTTCTGTCGGAGCTCTTCTCGCCTGGGGGTGCCTTCCAGCAGCTGCACCTCGTCGAGTACTTTCCGGAGTTGCCTGTGTCGCCCCAAACGGCCGCTGGGCGCCGGGGGTGAGAACAACATATGGGGCGGATATCATGGCTGGGGCCCGAGATTTCCCAGATTTCATGGCCCCCCTTTGTTCTTTCAGTACGTTCCGTGGTCCCCCCTCGTCCGCGCACGTGCCTCGGGCCGTGATGCGCTAGCCCGCTCTTGCTGGCCCTCCTCTTCGGGGCACCCGATGCCGTGGTCGGGCGACGAGACGTGTATCACACCGTGCAAAAGGGGCCCTGAGCTGCAACGCTCTGTGAGAGCACACATAAAACGGAAGACGGCACCGTGCGGTGCGGCGCGTGGGCGTGGTGTGGCGGCGCCGCCTTGCACGGCACTTTGAGTCGCAGTCTAGAAACTCTTCACGGCGTGGCGCAGCATGCTGCACGCGGGCACGGCAGTGGGCGGCACGGCGCGGCACAGTCTTCGCATGCTAGAGCTTCGGAGCGGCTCGGCACGGCACGGGGGGCACGCCGGCGGCTTCTGTTCTGCACTGTAGACCCTCGGCATGGCATTGCACGGCACGCTTTTTTGTCCTAGCCTCGAATGTAGGCGCGCCTCGGCATCGCAGGCGGGCGCGTCACGGCACTGCACATTGCTCGCAGCCTAGAACCGGGGCGCAGCGTGGCACAGCACGCGGCGCGCGGGCGCGGCACTGCGCGGCACGGCGCGGCACGGCACGGCACAGTCTTCGCATTCTGTGATTCAGGCGCGGCTCGGCACGGCACGCGGTCACAGCACGGCCCACTTGTGGCATTTCGGCACGGCGTGGCACAGCACATTTTTCCCCAACCATCCTGTGGTGTTGGGTCCTCGTTTTGAAGAGACGGTCCCCGCGTTCCAACCTTCCTCCTTTTTTCCTCCTCTCCTCCCTCCTCCCATCATCATCGTCATCACCTGTGTCAGCACACCCCTCACGCGTTTCGTAGCCCCATGCGGAGCCCCACCGAAGGTCCCAGTGCTACCGCCCGCATGCGTCTCCCCCGCCCGGTACAGCGCTTCGTGGCCCCATTGGGAGCCCCACCGAAGGTCCCAGTGCTACCGCCCGCATGCCACCCTCCCCCCACCCAGTAGAGCGCTACGTGGCCCCATTGGGAGCCCCACCGAAGGTTCCAGTGCTACCGCCCGCATGCGTCCCCCCCCCCACCCAGTGCAGCGCTTCGTGGCCCCAGATAGAGCTCCACCCGGGAAGGTATTCACAACTGCGGTACTCACAGCTGCATATTGTTGGGCCCTTCGCCGGGATTCTGAGTTATTCAACGTGGGCGCGGCGCGGTACGGCAGGGCACGAGACGTTCGACGTAGGCACGACATGGCATGGCACGCGGGCGCGGTGGGACACGGCACGCTACTCGCGTTCTAGATGTTGGGCGCGGCACGTCGCTGTGCATGCGCCCACGCTCCAGAATCTAGACGCAGCACGGCGCTGCACGCGGGCAGAGCACGGCGCGGCACACGTGTTTGTCCGAGTCCAGCACGGCACGGCACGACACGTGCGTTTCGGTAGGAGCTCGTGTGAGCTCGGTGAACCCTCTAAACTCAGTCTTCAGCGTCGATCGGCGTCGATGAGCGCTTTGAAAGAGTCGATGAGGTAGCGCCGATTCAGCGTCGGTTAGCGTCGGCTAGCGTCGATTTAGCGTTGATTACATCGGTTTAGCGTCCATTCGCAAGGGCCGGCAAGATGCTATGGGGGGCTCCCATGAGTAGCCACCGGAACGCCACGGGACCGCACTTTACGGAAGGGCATGACGGCGGCACATGTTTCGCAGTTTGTGGTTCAGAAACGGGTTTTCTACATACGTACTTTTCGTTTCTAAGTATGCGAAAGTTATTTGTTTTTTTTGGGGGCCCAGGTCCTTTCTGGGCATCTTCCTGGCCACTGGGGGGCCAGGAAAAAGTAGAAACGGGCACAACCAGAAATGAGCACGATTAGAAATGAACGACGTGTAGGCCTTCCCCAAACCTTTTCGCGTTGTGAGAAAATCACAGGGCCGTCGAAAAACAACTCTGGATGTAGTGCTGGTCACTGGGAAGAGGTCCGAACCTCTGGGGAGCGACGTCGGCTATCCAGGCCTCCCAAGTGGGGTCAGCAGATTAGAACTGAACGACGTGTACAGTCCATGATTCAGGCCCCTTACGTGCATCGTTCGCTGTTCAGGGAGCGTGCACGCACAACCCCCCTCGCCAGGCCCTTCCTGCACTCGGGCGGTGTGTGTGTGTGTGTGCATCCTTTGTCAAGCCAGGGGGAAGTCGGGCCTGTCCCTCTACAGGGGGAAATTTCAAAAATAGTCAAAAATACTCTGGGGACGACCTCTGTGTATTTTTGAACATTTCGGAGCAGTTTCTTTCCTTGTTGCATTGGTCTTTCAAAATCCGCCTGTGGGTTGACATGCCCGACCTGATGTTAGCGTGTCGCTCCGCTGGTTCTGGCCCACCACGCCTCGACGGGGCACGCTGTCCACTTCGCGGTCCCCAGGCGTCCACGTCCCGAGCCCTTCCCGGCCTCCCACCCCGCGATAGGTGAGCGATCGGGTGCCCGCTCGCAGGGCACGGCGTGTCGCGAGGACCGCCGCCGCGACACGCTAAGCAACAGCTCGCGAGCGTCCGGTTCAGTCGCCCTGCCCTTGCGCGGTCACTCTTGTGCGGCCCCGCCGCAGATTCGCACCACTCCTGCCGCGTCGACCGCGGCCTGTTTTTTCCGGGCACCGCCGAGGCACGGCTGCATCGGTCATCGAAGGCGCCTCGGGCGAACCACCGCCGCCCCTTGCCTTATTTTCGGGCTTGAAGTTTTGTTTGCAGTTTTCTGTATATATATGTGTATATATATATATATATAGATAGGTGTTTGTGTGTACATGTCTGTCTGTATGTCTGTCTGTCTGTCTGGATGTATGTATGTATGCTGATCTGCACACACATACATATATATGTATATATATATATACATACATATATATATATATATACATACATATATATATACATATATACATATATATACACTGGGCTACAGGGCCAGGGGCTCCCTGGCCGGGACCGCAACCCCCCATGGCGGGATTGGGCCTCCGGGAGCGCCTTTGTCCGGCCCAAGAGGCGCCGAAGACGGTCCAAGCGTGCCTCGAGACGCTTACGATCGATCCAAGACGCCCAGGATGGCTCCCAGACGGCCCAAGAGGCCTCCAAGATGTCACAAGAAAGCCCCAAGAGCATTCCCAAGAGGGCTCCAAGAGGCCGAAATCGTCAATTTTCCAGGGTTTTCGAACGATTTTGGCCTTCCAGCCTTTTCGGCTGTCCGACGTTCCAAGACGGCTCAATAGGCCCCCAAACGCGCCCCAAGACGGCCCACGAGGGCCCCAAGATGGCCCCAGAGTCGCCCAAGCCAGCCCAACAGAGCCCCAAGACGGCCCCACGATGCGCCCAAGAGGGGGACCACGACTCCAAAATTCGACCCTCAGGAGGCCCCAAGGAGCCCCCAAGAGGCCCCTGGAGGCCCCCAAGAGGCACCCAGAAGGCCCAAACGAGGCCTAAAGAGGCCACAAAACAGCCCCGAGGAGGCCCCACAACGGTCCCAAAACGGCTACCGAGAAGCTGCGAAACTGCCTTCACGACGTCCCCGACAGGCCAACCACGAGATCCAAACCAACACCCATGAGGCCTCCGACCCACCACCCAGGGCACTGGCGGGAGCAGTGACAGCACTTGTGCACAGCATGTTCCGGCGGGAGCCTTCCGGAACACGCTGCAGGAGGAGGAGGAAGATCAGGAGGAGAGAGAGCTGGAGTGGGAGGAGTAGGAGGGGGACGCGGGGGAGGAAGAGGCCTCCAAGACAGCTCCAAGATAGCCGAAGGGGCTTCCAAGAGGGCCCTGGGCGGCCCACGAGGGCCCCAAGGCGGTGCCTGAGGCGCCCAAGAAGGCCCGAGAGGGCTCCAAGAAGGCCATAAGAGAGGCCCAATAAGGGAAACACGAACTGAGAATCCGAGCTTTCTACCCCGAGAGGTTCTCGGGAAGTCCCAAGAGGCCCTCAATCGGATCCAAGAGGCCCCCAAGAAGCTCCCAAGAGGGCCGACGAGGTTCCAAGAGATCTCCCAAGGTGGCCCCAAGAGGCACAACTCATTGTTTTACGACGGGGCTTTGACGGGTTTTACTTTTTTCTGCCTTTTGGCATCCCGATGATCCAAGACGGCCCAAGAGGCTTCCAATACCGCTCCAGTATAGAGGAAGAGGCCTCCAAGAGGGCCCCAAGACGGCCCGCGAGGGCCCCAAGACGGTGCTTGAGGCGCCCAAGACGGCCCGAGAGGGCCCCAAGAGCCCCAAGAGAGGCCCAAGAAGGGAACGCGACCCAACAGCAGAGCGTTCCCCCCAAAAGGCCCACAGGAGGCCGCAAGAGGACCCCAAAAGTTTCCCGAGGGCCCAAAAGCCCCCTAGGAGACGTCCAAGAGGTTTTAAAATAGCCCAAGAGTGCCCTCGATGCGTCAAAACTGCTTCCAGGAGGCCCCCGGGAGGCTTCCGGATTGCCTCAATCTGGCCGCATGTGGCCTCAAGTCGGGGCTCCACGCAGCCAAGACGGCCAATGACGGCTTCAGATTGCAGAACCGATGCCCCCAAGGGACCCTCAGACGCCCCCCCAAGAGGCACCCAAGAGGTGCCTCCAACAGCCAGTTAACGAAGCATGCGGAACACCCCAGAAGCTCCTCAGATGCCGTCGCGCGCCTGTGCTTGATAGCGTTGTCCAAGATCGTCCAGCGCCCCCCCTGGCCTGGGCTAGAACCT